ACTTCATACTCCTTTCGGACTTGGCCGTGGTCCACTGATTTGCATTCAATTGCCTTGGGTGTGACTGTTGTTCTTGTCTTATATATACTCTTTTCGTCCAAAGCAATTCCAAAATCGAACTCGGCTCGATTTCTCCTGCATGTCGCGCAACTTGCTGTCCTCTGAATAGTTCCCAGACCCTCTACGATTCGCTCAAATACGTTGAAATACTTTTCGCATAGATCGAAAGATCATCCTGTGAACTTCCCCTTTCATCGCGCAGGCGACTACCAGCTCGTTGACCGAGGTTCACGTTGCCTTTCGCTTATTTGAGGTGTCTCTTTTCTTGAGGTATGCTCGCATTTCCCATCAGTGTCGATTTTCATTGGTGATCTATCAATTCCTGTAACAACACAATGAAAGAAGCTGGTGACTGACAACCAACCTCGTTCAGATTGCGCGCCTCGATCCCCTTACTGAAACGCAGGCCTCGTCTTTCACCGAATGGTGGGGACTAGCACAGTCGACTATCGACCTTAGGACGTGTGCATGCGGAGCCCAAGAGCACATTCCGACTTTGTTCTATACCCTGAATTAGCGCACAAGGAAGCCATCATGTTGGCATTGGACTCGTCACGTCAACAACAGACATCATACTTGCACAACGTTCCTATGGACCCAGCATTGGTCGATCCGTTCGGGTTCCAAATGGATAACTTCGGCGGGTTTGGGCAGCCTTCTGGTTCAGCCAGCGCCCCAACATCTTACTACGAAACATCGCCTGTTTATGCTGATTCACAGCTGGAAGCCAAAACTTCTAGTTTCCCTCCCATGCCTCCTACTCCCCCATCCCTTCCAGTACCCTATTCCACAGAGCCTTATATGTCGGGCCTCTCCACTGCATCTGGACGCTCCATCGCAAGCGCATCATCATCGGCGATCGGCTCGCCATACTCCGGTACGGCACATACCTTCCCGGAGAGCTGGGTCGACACTAATCACGGTATCGGGCTTCCTGCAGCCGTCATGGATGAATTCTTTCCCAATGAATTTATGGCAAGCTCGTTAGAAGCGGAGAATATCTATCAGAGGAAAGGCCCAGACGACTTTGTCGGTGAGTTCCATGAGTTTGCATCTCGTTTCGTTTTTAAAGCAGATTCTATGTTTCTCTGCTGCTCTTCGACCGTCAAATTGCCAATCCTTTCAAAATGCTGACTGGCGGTCAACAGATCCTTCCTTGATACAGCCAGTACACCAATATCCAAGCTATTCAACTCCTACTATTTCGTTTCCCGAGCCCTCAGGCTACTCAGCCAACTGTGGATATTTCCCCCAGTCTCCTGACCCATCCCACCTCCCCGTTACCGAGAGCTACGCCGCAGATCACCTTTCACAAACAGGACTGGCAGTCTCTTCTCCCCTTTTGAACTCTGCCCCCCACTCACGCCCCGTTTCGATCTATGGCCGGAGGTCGTCCATTTCATCCACGCATTCCCGTCGCTCTCAGCTGAGTCCAGCTGCGAGCGTAGCAGAATTTGATGACGAGAGCAAGGAGAAAGGACGCTGTCCCCATCCCGATTGCGGAAGAGTCTTCAAGGATCTGAAAGCTCATATGCTCACGCATCAATCAGAACGACCCGAGAAGTGCCCTATCGTTACGTGCGAATACCACGTCAAGGGATTCGCTCGTAAATACGACAAGAACCGGCACACGCTCACCCATTACAAGGGAACCATGGTGTGTGGATTCTGTCCAGGTTCTGGGTCACCTGCGGAGAAAAGCTTCAATAGAGCAGATGTCTTCAAGCGTCACTTGACCTCGGTGCATGGCGTTGAGCAAACACCACCCAACTGTCGTAAGAGGAGCCCCGCTGCAGCTTCTGGCAAGAAGGTTTCGGATTATTGCCAGGACGCCACCGGCAAATGCTCAACTTGCTCTGCCACCTTCAGTAACGCACAGGACTTTTACGAGCATCTCGACGATTGTGTACTCCGGGTTGTGCAACAAGTAGAGCCTAGTGAGGTTATTAACCAGCAACGGCTGGCGGAAGTGGACTGCGATGAGGAGGTCAAGAAGACCATGGAGAAGCACAAGCTTCTTGATGCGGCCGGCGACGTCGACCGCCTCGACGATGAACCTGAGGACGATGATAACGATTATAACGAACTCAATCTTCAGCTCCGATCAAGCAAAGGTGCATTCAAGTCAATGAAAGGGAATGTGAGTGTAGGATCTCGTCCCATCTTGGGCGGCAGCAATGCTGTTACCAAAAATAGCAAGGCCCGTGCAGCCATTTCGAAAAAGCGCAACAACCGCGATCGCTACCCTCCTTCCTGGGGCTGCCCCAGCAGCAGCATGAAGACGAAGAAGCGCGTCTTGTGTGTCTTCGACGGCCAGCGCCGTCTGTGGAAAGATGAAATGATGCTCGACAATGAGTTCGAAGTACGGCTGAAGCTTCCTGGAGGAGCTAGTGACGGTACAAACAGGGAGGCATATATAACTGACCTGGATGTCGAAACTCTGAAACGTGCTGAAGGCGTGTTGGGCGCCAACGAGGATGAAAGAGGTCCCTGGTTAGAGGGACCGGCAACACATCTCATGGGACAGCCGGCGAGGATCTTGCCTACACTTTCTCATCCTCACGACGATGTGGATATCGATGACTTGATGTCATGAATGCGACCACCTTCCCTCAACTGTGCCTCGTCTTCCCTCTTCACTCCTAGCTTTTTGTTGGATACCTCTCTGTTTTGCATATGCTGCATCATGAATAGCGGAATATGTGTGCTATATACCAGGATATGATACCACTTACTATTTTATCAGCTTTGATGCTTGACTTACTATGTCAGATTTTTCTGCTGTGTGTTTCTTTTTGGCTAAGCCAGGGTGTCATGGAAACGGAAGGGAGATTCTGATACGGGTGATTTCCTCGCATCAGACAAAAGCTCTAAATAATATCTGCTCTGCTAGACAGAGATGAATCCGATTTGTTCTTTCTGCATTATTTCTTCACATGGAAAATGGTAAAGATAATTCAATGACTACCTACCCTTCGACTCAGTGTGGCTGCAGATAGAAGGTATCAAGAATCAAATGCGATAAACTTTTGGGGCATATCTGAGCGTACAGCTGGGGCCTTATGAGCCTTATACATAAATGATCGTGTTAAGGTGCTGTTGCTGGTTGTCAAGGGTGAATGAGTGATGAGTGGATTTGCCTTGATGTCATTGTGGTGGTTCATGTTGTTGGGGACTCCCCGCAGATGCCAGGCCCGGCTTTGCTCCGCATTCTCCGAAACCACAGTCAACAATCATCTCCCTCTCCTGCTTTCTTCAGTCCTTTCAGGAACCGAGTCAATCGCAAAGAGATCAACGCATAGCGTCAAGAACATGCAATTGGGTTTAAGGGAGAGCCTCCCTGCTCTGGTAGCCAAGCGTTTCACTGCAGCCAAAGAAAGTGGCCACCTGATATTCTCCCATACTCATCTCTCCATAATCAATTCTGGAGGAATCTCGGTAGGATGTGCTCTTTCAATTCCCTTCTAAGATGATATAGTTATGCTAACCCCGACATTTCCAAGTATCAACTTCGTTACTGTCCAGCGCTCGCAAAGAAACCTTCAGGGTCTCCTAAATCCGACAAGGATCGATCAGGTCCAAAGCCCGATCCTTTCGAGAATCCCTCTACAGACCTTTTGATCGCTCAGATTCCTCAAGAAAATCCAACACATGCACTTGTCTTGAACAAATTCCCTGTCATACCTAATCACTTCATCCTCGCGACCAAGGCATGGAAGCCGCAAACGGATATTCTCGAGAAGGAGGATCTGGACGCTGCTTACGCCTGCATCAAAGCTTGGAGGGATAACCAGACGGGACAGGAAGACACGGGGTCAAGGAGAATATTTGCATTCTTCAATTCCGGAGACGAAAGTGGCGCGAGTCAGCCCCATAGGCATTTGCAATTCTTGCCAGTGGAAGCCATGTCTCAGGGTGACTCGGGAAGTTGGCGGCCTCTCATTGATACGGTTTCATCCCAGTCAGTAGGTCCCGACTCGGAGTACCGACGCTTGAGCCAAATCCCCTTCGCCCATTTTGCACTACCGTTGCCTCAGAACCCAACCGCAGATACGTTGCATGCGATTTATTTATCTTTGTACAGAGTAGCGGTCGCGACTGCGAAGGGAGGCCTGGGGGACCACGCGCCAGCGACAGATGGTCCCGCGGCAATCAGCTACAACTTAGCGATGACCGAGTCGATGATGATGATTTGCCCTAGAAGATGTGAAACTGCTCGTATACCCGTCGACCCAAGCGCTTTGCCAGATGTCCAGGAATCTGGCGTCGTGGCCCTGAACGGCACAATCCTGGCCGGAACACTTATGGTCAAAGCTGAGGCTGAGTGGAATGAGCTTCGGCGCAATCCAGATACGTTGGCAGACATACTCGCGAGTGTCGGCTATCCCCAGCCGGACTCTCGTGGACTCGCTCTGTTATGACGATCTTTGGCGTGGTCTCGTCAAGAATGCTCCTAGAGAGGATGTATATAGCATTGTCGCATCAAAGACGCTCATGACTTTTGCATTGTATGTGAGTCGATGATACAGTACATATGACGCTGCATTCAGAAATCTCTCCATTTTTTTGGGAAAGCCCAAGATAAGCGACAAAGTACGCCAAACAGTTCCTCGCCAAGAACAAAGGAGAAGCACAAGGAATATCCAAGACGAAGCAGTGCGAAAATAACGCTGAGATAGGCTAAGACTTTTGTCCAAGCGCAACCTAGATCATATCTTTACATTGTGCACTTCGCACCACTTTTTCTTGCAGGTCGCATTCCCGAAATGATACGAGCCTCCATGAGTCCATATATACTGAGCGACCTTCTTCCAAGACACTCGGGGTGGCAAGCCTACACCTCTCGGTCGACAAGACGTCGCAAATGCATTAGAAGTTTGCTTTCCAGACCGCGAACAGGCGTTGACTGCTTCGCACAGCAATTTGATCTGTATTGGGCATTAGCCGAGAACAAAAGAGACACTTGGAATCAGTTCACTCACATCTTTGTCTTTCCACTGGGGTTTCCTCACCCTCTGCTCCTTGGACTTTGTGAGAGTCCGGAATCTGCCACGGAGGGTTGATTCGGCTTCTTCAAACCCTCCGAGCCTCTTTATATCCTTGTATGACAACCCGCGGCGTTTGCACTCTATCAAGAATGCATTCCGGGCCTCGTTGTGGCATGAGATTGACCTGGTGCTTGTTCGTCCTTGGCGGCTCAAGGCTCCGTTACTGGCGATTGTCGCATGCACAGATTGGATGGTTTCGTATTGGTGCTGAGGGTACGTGAGCTCGTCGTTGGCAAATGCCAACTGGCAATGTCCCCCGTCGACTTCACTTCGGTGCTTGACGCTTGTTGAGTTGTACTCATGAGGGGTGAATGGGTTCAGCACAAACGGTGGTTGCTGAGGGTAGTGCTGACCGCAGTCTACAGAAGGTAGACCGTGGCAGGCGTCCACTGTGGCGTTGCGAGGAATCTCTTCAAGCTGACTACCGTGATGACGCAGTTGAGAAAAGCAGCTGTTCCGGAGCTCAAATTCCGGACTCTGCATCTCCCATGGCACCATCTGTCCGCTACTGGACCAGTGGAGAGGCGTGGTAGCACTGCATGTGCCGGCCATAGGAGTGTAAGGATCGTCGGTTGTGGCCACAGAGCTAGCCGGCGAGCCTTGGTTCTGGAATAGCATAGCGCCCCCGATGTGACTATACGGACGGTGCGCTCTGCGGAAACCGTGTCTAAACGGGTCTGCTAGACTCTCTTGCGAGGCAGAAGGTGATGTTGTGTCTGACGTCGCGTTGGTCTCTGAGGACGAACCGAAGGGGTCCACTGCCATGTACAGACTTGGCCTAGAAATGGGGTGCACTAGGCCGCAATGATAGTTGTCGGACTTGGTCTCTTCATCACAGAAGGCACTTTCTTGTACGGGAGCTTCAATCTTGAAATCACCATGTTGTTCACGATTTTCAGGACCAGTGACCACTCCATCAGACTGTCTAGGTCGGTGCAGAGTTTGGATATTGGCGAGACAAGTATAGTAGTCAGGAGAGAGTCCATGATTCTCAGGCTCAAAAGAAGTCAGGACATCCGACCAGGAGCAAACGTCTGGTTTCATCGTTTGTTCGTCGGCCATTGGCAGTCTGTTTGAGTTGTCGACGATAGCCTCGGACTGTCCTTCAGTGACCCCGGTGCAGTGGTTTGTCCAGGACTGATCACAGTTGACGGCCTTTCTAGAGCACAGCGCAGACTGCTGATCGCAGGGCTTTGCCGGGAGGAGATGGCCACGGTTCTCAAAGAGGTAACTGGCAGGATCGGGATCAGTAGAATCGGGGTTCTTCTCGAAGATCAAACATGTTTTGGAGTGATCCGGACCGACGAGCACGCGGAGCATCGCTTTAAGAGAGGCCATATTACCCTTCCTGTCGCCCAGTTCACCGCTCCTGTCCTCTATGGCCGGTATAGATGGCGGGTGAAGCGCGTGCATGGGAAGATTCAATGACGGACTATGCACGTTGCTGGGAATTAACGGGACACCTGCAGGACACATGTACACACTGAGCATGTCAAGATCCATATGGAGAAGTTTCACCTGCCATGGGGCATGATTGACATACCGATGATCTCTGACTGGCCGCCACACGCGCTGTATGTGCGTCCGCTTTTTTTAAGAGCAATGTCTTAGCTGTTGGTGGCGTCCTACTCTGAGCACCGAAAAAGGAAGGAGAAGGAAGGCCAGATAAAGAAAGAATGCAGCGGATGCTATTGAAGGGGAATATGCCGATGTGACGATGACTAGCTCACTGCGACATCTGATAGCAACAGGAACAGAGTCGATTGTTCATGGAAGAGAAGCACAAGTTCGGACAGACGGTATGATGTCTCAGGTTACCTTGTCTTCCACAAAAGTCGTTACGATTCGAAAATGTCGGGGTTTCCAAGCTCAGAGTGGGACTGTTTCAACAACCTGTGTATGATGTAACGGCTTATCTGAGTCAAAAGGGAATGGATTGTTCGAGCTCTAAACGAGAGAATCGGAAAGAATAATGGACAGGACAACAAAGAGACAGTTTCAGGCTGGTTGGCAACCAAAGACAGACACCCTTATGAGCTGATCTTGATACCGAACGACCAAGTGAGACCGGCCTTTAATAAGGTCTCAGACCTTGGATCCCCTGGATGCATCAACGTCTTCCATCATGGAACCTCGAATCTTCGCACGAGTAATGGCCAAGCCGAATGTTCATTGCCCATTTGCCTCTTCCTCCAAAACTAGACGATGGGCCGAAGAACTATCGACTCTCGCCTCAATAAAACATGGATGATGCCAGGAAGAGATATCGCCTTCCGTACAGGACCTCTGCAAATCTGCATCTACTGCCCTCTACTAGAGACTACCATCCCCGATGATCAATTGACCAGTCTCAAGGCCTTCTCCGCAAGGCTCCCAATCCAGTAGTCCAGCCAGTTTGAAGGACCATTTCCAGACAACCCGAACGAAGTACCGGACATCCCGCGCGAAGACCTTAAAGAAATTAAGAAAATACCCTGGGAAAAAGCCAGTACAATGCACGAATGAGAATCGAACAGAAGACAGACGCACTGACGGATCCAACCCGGCGTACAGCGTCGACATGCTGGCCCGGATAGCCACATGCGGGACTTCTTTTGCCGCACTTCCGCGGCGATCTTCTTTCTTGGGCGGCTGTAGGACGGCCGTAGTTGAACCTTTTCTATTTTTTTGTTTTCTTTTCCCTTTGTTCTTTTCCCTAAACGGGTTGGAGAGAATGTATCGAGGAGAAATAAGAAATAAGAGTCGGAGGATTTTCAAGCTTTTGGAGATCCTACCTGACTATTGAACGGGACGTTTGGTCGGAGTTAATCGGAGGATGCGCACTGATACAAAGTACATTTTGTACTTCAATGGAACGTCCCCATCGCGTCATCAGAGCCGATAATGAGTAGAATACCAATAGATACATGAAATTGTGGATGGATTGTGGTTGTCCAACGACGACTGCGACTGCATATGCAGATGTAGGACCCTTTACCATCACAGTGACAGACGTATCTTGGCCAATGAATACAGTGTCCCCTCTTGTTCTTGCTTTAGGTTAGATAAAGCTAAAGGGCGCAATTTTAGGGTTGATCCCGCACTCTTAATTCTAATTCGACGCGGGGAATCCATTAATGATTGACAAAGGATCTAAGCTTCATACCCTAAGCTAAGTCACTTTTCTATAATTATCCTTGCCGCAAACAACCCGCCTACAGTGAAATGAACAATTGCCCAGGCCTTGCTTCCAACCCGACCATACTTAAATCGATACATCCATCCTGGCAATCATGTTTGACCTTGGAAGGGGATTATTCCTTTATTGGAGCCAGACCTATTCTCTACCATCCCCACTCCTCGGATACGGATGATCATCGCATTAATGCAGCATCCCTGATCCCACACAGCATACGGTCTTAATAATGATCTTATGAACTCATTCCTCAGTCCCAAGGATGTGGTACCGTAGCGATCACGTTGTACGAGAGCCGAGCCTGAAGCTCTTACTGAGGCACACAAGGTTATAGTGAACCATGGGGTTCCTTGAAGTCAATGGCTGGCTTTCTCCATGAACCAAGGTCTGAAAATCATCCTTCTCCCCTGTGGATAAACAAGTACAATGCCGGATTTTGACTTTGGTACAACCCGTCTTTAATGTGCGTTCCCGCTGCCGTCCATTCGGTTTGTCATCGCCGTTATTTTGCTTCGGCCGGATAGAAGGTAGCCGTTGGAATCTTCTCCAAAAGACTTTCGGGTCCAGACAATTGCAAATTAGACTTTCAATATTCTGCTGATCAGCACATTCCGGTTGACCCATTTGATTGGCATGATTGCATTGATTTGAGTTAATTCCCGTAGCCTGGTCTCAAATCCATTCGATATCAATCCTTCCAATACCCTCCGACTCAAATTCATACATACATGTCCTGAGCTCAGACCTCAGCTTATCTTTTTCTCAGGCCTGCTAAAACCCTTTGAGGATGCTGGAAAGGAGCAGACCAACCCTGATCTGCCTCAATCTAGAGGCGAAAAGTACGGATACTTGTCGTAGGCACGGGATCGGAACTTTCTGTCGACGATATGATACTGCTCTGCCTGTTCCGGTTCCCCACCGCGCCATCTCATGTCAAACGCTCTTGGCTGATGGCAACCCGGTATGATGATGATTCCACAACGACCACTCTTGGGCCCGATGACATGAGTTGAGCATCGCTTTCCCGCGTGGACCGGTCCTTTACCTGGCTGCGTTCCTCAAAGTGGTCCAAAAGTCGGTCAACCAACAAAACTGCATTCGAAACAGGACATCAGAGATTTGGTTTGCAGAAATGGTCACGAGGACTCACCTGCTAGCAGTATGACCGTAAATGCGTATAATATGACCGGAGACGTCATGAAGGAGTACGCCAACGCAAAATGTCGGACGAAGGAAACCACGCCTAGCACTAATACCGCAAGTATCAGGCGAACAGCAACGCCAATCCCAACGTAGAGCTTGCGCTGGTGGCGACGTGCCAACAGCATAAAAGCCGCAAAAAGAAACATCGCGATTGACGCCACAACGAAAAAGTACACATAGACAAACCCCAGGACCTCCACATACATCATGAGTAACTGACTATTGTTCAGTTGGCTGATGTCTCGGCCCTCTGACGGCGTAATTCCCATGCTGGAGAATAAAGCTGCCGTTACGTTTCCCACCAAATCATCGATGCGGTCATGGGTCAGAAAGTAGACATTACTTGTCGCATTGGTTGGGCACAGCGGAAGGGTCGGTAGCTCTTCCAATATGTCCGAGATAATAGTTTTCTCCTTCATCGCTCCCCGACCATAGTCAATTTCCATATCAGCAATGGTACTTCGCAGTAGCCTGATGGCAACCTCCGCCTCAGGCCGCGGCTCTTCGCATGCGAACAAGATTGTCTCCGTCAAATACGTCAATTTCAATGTCACATCCAAGGTGAGAGCAAGGATTTGCGATCCTTCAAGGAGTAGGATAAGGGCCACGTGAAATGGAAAATGCAGCTGAGCCCATGCTTGTTGTGAAAGTCTGCCAAGTGGGCCTCTTGGGGAGACATCGAAATAGGCTTGCCACAGGAAGTACTAAACCACAGCGGAAGGTCAGTAGACGAAAGCAGAATCTGATCGCTAATGTCCCTTACCACACTTGTGGTCACGCCCAATATGTGGACAAACGACCACTTAGTCCAGCCGCCGGGGCGTACTGTTTTATTGGCAATCCTAGTCACTGCTATGACACCTTCACCAATGATGATCAATGTAAGGAGGCCCATTCTGACAACCAAATGAGTATCTTCAAAACCGATATCTGGAGTGATGTAAGATACCCCCATCACCATCCACATTTCAAACCCGAACAAGATAAACCAAACGGTCCAAATGTACGAGTGGATTCCATGATCTTCTTGAAAGGCAAAATACATCTGTCACCTAAGTCAGACTAAGGACGTGGTTGTCATAATATGTTCCTCATCAAAGGTAATGCTTACCCCGAAATAGACCAAACTCGAAGCGAGCAGTGCTGCAACAATGACGGACAACCCCTTTGCAGCGGGTCTCATCCGTTCATGGATCAAGCATATATTGACCGTGTACTGCACGGCAAGCAGTACTCGACTTCCACCAAGCAGAAGACTCAACGACTGAAAGGCCCAAACGTTCTCACCGCGGATATGAGTCGTGAATCGTGTTCCCGCAGACGCGAAGCCTACCATGGCAACCAACTGAGCAGCCTTGCAAATTCGTTCAAAAATCGAGTCTCGAGCGAATCGTATATCAAATAATGTAATCTGAAGCCATGTGAACCAGATGACACCTAGGAAGCCTATATATGCTCCAAGACCTGGATTCCAGTGTTAGATCGACCTCGCCAGTCATAATCTAAGCCCAACATACCTTCGACATTGTTGATCTCGTGCGTAGCGGTAAATGAAGACAAGTTTGCAACGAAAAACAAATCGAAGAAGAGTTCTATGGGGGTGGCATCGGAATGGCGGCAAAAATGCGGAGACTCGCCATCCTTTTCATCGATAGGCGTCGCAATTAGACTTAAGCCTCGGTGCCGCCTTCAGATTGATATAAGCATCGCTCCATGTTGATAGAACGTCTGGCGAGTTCACTCACAGCACGTCTTGCTTGATAGGCTTGGGTTTACGCAGCGGTTGACGAAAAAAGGAGAAGAATGGCGGCCGTGTCATTATAAGAAAATGTCGACTAAAATTCCATGGGTATCATAAGTCTGAGCAGATCCGATGAGTAAATACTATACACGAGCTTCAAGACAGAAGCTTGAGTTCATCTGCAGCTTCAACGAGCTGTTGGCTGGAAAGAGCGAAAGGGGAACATTTCAGCAGGAAAGAACGTCAGGCCGATGACGGATCACGACTCGCTCCCAGAGTCGCCCGCCGAGCCAGCTACAGAATCGCCAAAGCTTTCGAGTCCGCGAGAGTTCTTGATATCGACAGCGGTTGACAGATCCTCCTCGGAACCGGGTGTCAGGCCGG